CATCGACTCCAGGCACATAGCTGGAAGGAACGGTCTCTCTGCTTGCTATATCCAATGCCGCGTGGGAAGTTTACATCATGGAACTTCTGAACGTTTGTGCACGGCCTCGTGGATGTACTCACTGGACGAACTCGCTCATCGCCCAACGTTGCACTCCGTTCGGCAACGTGGTGGCATTTCACAACGTCGTACCCAAGTAAAACTCAGGGTCGCAAATAGAGGTAGACCTTAGACACGCATCCGGATCTGCCACGCATGATCCTCAGCCCAAACGCCGCAATCATGTAGTCGGCCAAACGATACATGAAATCTGCATCAGCAGTTCAAAGACTGTATAGTGCCCGAACAATTGCTGCCGCTATTTCAGCATTGGCCTCAAATAACAGACCGAGTCGACACCGGATCTTCTCACTCTCTGGTGCCGTCAGGTAATCATTTTCAATGTTGGCAACTGTCACCTCTAAGTCGTTGAGATCAGCCAATAGTTTGAAAGAACGCTTGCGTATGCCACATACGTAGGCTGCGATTTCGTCACGTGGCCGCCGGCCACCAAGCAAGCTTTCCGTTCGACGTCCATCTGAATATCAAAACAAGATGGCAGTGGGTCTTCCCAAAAATGGAGGAGGTTCCGAGTCACCTCTCATTACCTGAAAGGCTATTCGCACCTTAGTCATCTCAGTCCGAAAGGCATACCGCCATAAAATGTTACCGTTTTCGAGGTCGACGCGGGTGCAATCCTCATATGTTTTGGAACTTCGAGTCCAAATTTATGCACCCGCTTGTAGTATCGGTTATTTATAGTCGCAATTATCCGATCGCGCCGCTTTAATTGTGAATGGGACCCACCACGCGAAAGCGGGTTCGCTCTTGATTCCTTGAGCGATTGCATAGTCAGCAAACTCCACGGGATTGGACTCTTCCAAGTCCGCGAGTTGTTCTCATGAACAAATGCTTCCTTGTTCCATTCGACATAGAGTTGCCAACCCTTTGTCGTTTCGCGATGATGGCGATTCAATCCGTGCTGGACGAGCATATCTGCAAGTTAGACCGCAGAACCGTCTTCTTCATGATGAACAATCCCCTTCTGCAGGAGAAATCGATTGCCCTCTGTGTTGCACATTGTATACGTCTTCTGCATCATCACGTTGGCCGATAGTTCTGCCGTTTGGCCGTCGGCGAACTCAACATTAAAAGTTCGAGTGTCCAAGCAAGATCAGATTGTGGTTCGCCCTTCAAACAGGACTTCCATCAAGCAAGTGCAACCTGTCAGCTTTGAACCTTTGCACTCAATATCTTATCGTCGTTTGGCAGAGTCACCTCGGCCCTAATAGACTGATTGAACGTGTCAGCACCAGGCTCATCATCGGCGTCAGGAACTCAAGACACTTCGCCGTCATCATCATCGACGTAATTCGAGAATGTTAGGCAGAGTCTCTAGGTCAACAAATCCTGGGTTTGTCGCAAAATCCTCACATTTGTATTCGTCCCTAGAATCGAGTTTGCCTTCTCCGTAAAGTCCTCGCACTTTGTTTCTTCATCGACTCGTCCGCCAATTTGTCTGGCGTCAACAAGCGAACAGTCGAACAATAAACCGTTTGGCCATTCCGCTTAGTAAGGACTTTCCTTGTCATAGCGGGCGGGACCTTCTGGATATCAGGGCCCAAATCGTGGCCCAACACCAGCGATGCACTCGAACAGCGCAAATGGTGGTACGACAGCAGTTCAGCCGCTGGAAACGGCCTCACCCGTCAAGTTTACAGATGTCGTGCGTGGTTAGAAATCTAACATACGCCTCTCATTCCAGGCAATCATCCCAAAGGCGCTTGGGCGTACCGGATCGAATCGTTTGCCTCCCGACACCCTTCTTCCATTGTCTGATTGCGGCCTCCGCAGGTTTTGACCACAGCGTGTGTGGCTCCGTGGTCCGTTTTCATCATGGTGTACACAGTACGCACGACACAGCCATCGGACGTTGCGAATACTTGTACATATTTACAATTCCTTCGCGAATTAGTAGTATTCAATATCAGAGTGTCAGTGAAGAAGCAATCAGGCGATGTGAATGACAACGGTACCAGGTACCGTAGCTGATAGACGTTAGTGCAGAGCCGACGTGACAGCATCGGATGCAGTACGGTGGTGCGTAGTACTACGCCAGCACATTGACGAGTCGTCATGTATATGGTACAGCATACGCTTCGCAGTTTGCATGTTAATTCCCAATCCCTTGCCAACTAGCGTTGAGGACCAAATGGCTTTCCGGCGAGCAACGACCGAAGCGATGCAGTCGCGCGTCGCATCGAGTCCTCGTTATAATTCTGTAATTCGCTTGCGAGCGAATGCATGTTAGAAACCGAGAATAGTAGTCGCCTGGATGGTGGCGGTGCCCCGATTCGGTCCCCTGTTTCGAGCGAATTACATGTTGGAAACCGAGCATAGTAGTCGCCTGGACGGTGGCGGTGCTCCGATTCGGTCCCCTGTTTCCAACAGGTATTTCGTGAGGGCAGCTTCCTCGTCGGTGAAAACGTTGTCATAGGGGTCCCACGGGAGATCTTCGCCCGTGAGCGTAACATGAGGGAGCGTCCCATATGCTTCAATGGGCGACTGTCGCGTCCGAAAGGTCAAGGTGACGCCGCGCACCGAGAGCGGAGACACGTACGGGCGGAGGTGTCGTCAGCGGTGGGAATCACCAGCAACGAGTGTGTCAGGTCATTGCCATTTTCGGTTAAGAAACGAGGAATGTTGTTCACAAGAATAACATCATTCGGTGCGATATCAGGGATATGTATCGCCTGATGAACCATGAGACGAATCACTGTTTCACCGCTTACGAAATCATCAAACGCGAGCGCCGCCGAAACAGTTTAAAGATCCGTGGCGACAGGACCTGATGTGTTGTAACCCGACACGTTTTATCTGACGATCGTAGTCACGGACTACTAAACAATTACTGCCTACTATGGCACAGTGGTCGGATGCAGATTCATGGGCAACCGACTTGTCGAGCAATCCCAACGTTCGAATGGCGGCCAAGCGTGCACAGCATCACTTCTTGGGCTCTTCGTTAGAGACTTTCTTCTGGCGCGTGAGCGCCGCGTTCATGCGATTGCTGGTGCCATTGTTTGCACACGTTGCAAGGCTCATCGGCTGACATGCCGGAGTCCTGTGAAAAGAGAGTGCTGTCATTACTGCAACCGAGGTCTTCTTCAGTTGCATCGCCGATTGGGACATCTAGCGGTTGACGGCACGTCGCTCTCTTTGCGCTTCGTTATCACACTATCACTCGCGCCATGCCACACTTGAGGCGCTTGGAAGCAAGATCCTTTCTTCGAAGTCTGGCAAATGTAGACCAGGGATAAAGTTACGCACGCTTCTTCAAAGTCGGAACGCAACATTTCCACAGATGTAATGCGAGTTTTGACGGCATCAAACTTGTCGGTTTTGATACCATCAACAAGACAAGTGTCGAGCCTTCGAATGTGGATCAATACCCACATGTCCGTGCTCTATCAAGCCTTCCAACACCAAGTGCTGCTGCTTGTGCACGTATTTGTCGAAATTCGAGCGACGCTGCTCGCTGTGGTAGACTGTATACTCCAGCTTGTCTTCGGCCATCGTGGCCATGCGGCGGGCCCAAGTAATGGCCGTAGAAGCTTTAATAGGCCATCCTACCATCTCCAGTTTCCGCGCTGGTTTGTCATTCGTCCAGACAGGGCCTTTACGAGTGATACGCGAGCAAGACCCTGTACCCTACCTTCTTACGATTGACAAGGTAGACAGGATCTGCCGTCGCTATCATTTCGTCTTGCACTTGTTGGGAAGTTCTCCTCATCTGGCGCAATCGCCTCGGTCTCACAAATGGTGTACGCTAGCAGGATTTTATATTCTTCAACCACCAAGCGTGGGCGGGCATTTGCCGATGGCTTCTATCCTTTTCGGCCAGTCCTTCAAGTTGATGACGGGCAAGTCATCAGGATACTTGTGGTGGATTCGTACTCACGATATTCGCAAATGCTGCAAATGTTGTCGAGCGTAACGTTTGCGATGACCACTGTACAACCCGAGGCACCTGGTGCCTGACGGAGAAGGTAGAACGGTTCTGGACCTGCGCGGGTCCAACGGCGGCCCCGTTGGGTGGAGGAATCGTTCCTCCGGGGCGTCTTTCGATCTTGTCATCAGACAGAAGTCTGATCTCCTATAGGGAGTTGGTGCCCTGGTCCTCGACGAGGGCTTGTGCAGCCTGTTCGTAGAACCCGATACGGCAAAAGGCTGTGCGCATTGCAGGATATCCATGTCGGCGTAGAACTCAAAACCGGGAGAGAACCGAAAGAGCGATCAAGGACCCTCCCTGAAGTTCCGGGGTCAATCCCTGTTGGATGCGTTCAACGGAGATCACGTATTACGCCAGTGCGAGTATAATCATTCGTACTGTATAATATATACTCTTGCCTAACGGGCGATGTATGAATCTTTCATCCGCGATGGTACGGATCGAAGGATGGATGTGATCAATCCATCAATCGGTTGTCGAGATCGGTTCGACAAATTGAATGGGGATCAGCGAATCACCTCATTCCGATTCAGGCCACATGCACCATCTCGCATGTTATGGTTCACTGGTTTCAACGGGTAATTTTTATGGCAGTTCAACGCATGCCTGGGCACAGCTGACGAGTCACTCGACGCGAGCGAAGGGAGCAGCCCTATTCACTAAGAGCATGTACATTGCCATCGAAATCGTCAGATGACCTCGTCCGTCATCATCCAGAGCGATGGGTCTGATAAACTGAGTAAAAGTAGACGTGCTAAGGGAGACGGTGCAACGATATGCTAGTAACGGGTATAGATCATGGGATAGGTCAAGTTGTGAGATCGAGCTATTGTACCGCATACTGTACAGTCGTGTACCGTACAACGCATACAATAAATCAGCCAAGACCGATACGTGAGTACTTTCCAAACAAAAATCGCAGTATAAAAATGCAGCCTTTGATTAGAGTAGCCCAATCACGGAGTCGAACCATGGACCTTGTCATTACTAATGACATGCTCTAACCAACTGAGCTAATTGGGCAACCCGGCAGAGATATAGTGCCATCACATTTCAAATATACTTCATTTATGGAGTACTCGCACCATGCACCCGGTATTGTTCTCCGACTAGTACCAGTAGCACTGAGTATTGAGTATCATATACATCTGTACTCCTGTAGTAGTACCAGGTATAGTACGTACAAGCATGCACCAAGATGTGAATCTCGTAAGAATCCTTCCTTCGAATCTCTCCAATCTGGAACACGTATGGAACGAATCTCCCTCATAAATCATGTTTTCGTAATACTCACTACTTGAACAAATACTGGAGTTCATAATCAGAAGTCAGAAGTGAGGCTGTAGCTGGGTTCCATAATCGCAGATGATTGCTTCCTCGTCGTCGCATTGGACCTTCAGCGAATAAAACTCTATATTGCACTTCTAGTCAATATGGCCTCCGATTTTTCCTGCACTATAGATAGAGGATATGCCGCCGTACCTGGATCTACTCTTTTGGTTGACGAGCTATTGAAAGGTGCGGAAAGCTCGTCTTCGGCTACTACCCTCGCCAGCACTGAATCTACTGCTCTGCTTGATGAGTACATTGAGATTTGTCGTCGACAGGAGACTAAAGAGCACGTGGAGGGAGGACGGCTTCTTCTTATCTGGTACCTTCTTGGGTTCAAAAGCGATCCTTTTCTATCAAAGAACGATTCCAGTCGGTCGCGCAACAGCGCTGCGGCGGATTTGCGCCTAGCCATGCTTTCAAACTTTTCGACGGCCTATAACATTGTTTCAATCAGTTTGGCACTGCATCTAATGAACGACATTTTCCCCGGCAGACCTGAGGACAAAGGTATGTGTTCGTCCGCCCTGATCGCCGGCATGATCATAGGTCAGCTATTTGGTGGGACGCTGGGTGACATCTTGGGTCGCCACGTCGCAATGACTTGCGTTATGTGTTTGCAAGTTTTCGCCGCTTTCTTTTCAGCACTCTCTGCCGATTCTTCATTCTACGGTTGTCATGTGAGCATCTTTTCAGTACTTGCTGGATGGCGATTTGTTTTGGGAATTGGAGCTGGAGGCGTGTATCCTCTTGCCGCTACTATCACCTCCGAATCCAGCCAATCGTTAGCAGAGCGCGGTAAATCAGTGGCCATGACATTCTCAATGCAAGGTGTAGGTTACCTTGCGGTGCCCCTAACGACTTGGTTGATGGTGACAGTTTTTCGGGTGCCTCCTCCGTATGCCTGGCGTCTCTTACTTGGACTAGGAGCTTTGCCTGGAATTGCATTAACGATCGCACGATCACGTTGGTTGCACAAGCGAACCGATTGGTCCTCAAATCAATTCGAAGACGACAGCGAAAGTGCCTTGGTGCATGTGGAGGATGTTGAGACATTCCGCACGGCGCCAGTCTCCGTGATGGATGCAATTCTTATCGAGCCTCGCCTATTTGCGAAGCTCGTAGGCACAGGAGGGTGCTGGTTCCTCTTTGACATTCTCTTCTATGGAAATACTCTCTTCCAACCCATGGTTCTTTCCTCTGTATTTGGAGCCGGCGAAACGGTCGAGAAGGTGGCACTTGACTCCACAATAATTGCATGCATGGCACTTCCAGGCTACATAATTAGCATCGCTGCCACAGGACGACAGAGTCCTCGGTTCATTCAATTGCAAGGATTTCTCATGATGAGCTTGATCTACGGTGTGATTGGTGGATGTTTTCACTCCTTGACTGCACACCGGGATCTCATGCTGATTCTGTACAGCTTGACCTTCTTTTGGAGCAACTATGGTCCAAATACAACCGTAGGTTTCCGCACTCCGATTCGGGTTTCAATTTTCTCCAACTGTTCTAACTATTGTACATTGTTCGATACAGACTTTTATGCTACCATCCATGACATTCTCTAAACCATGTCGATCAACGCTGAACGGAATCAGTGCAGCATGTGGTAAAGCGGGGGCTCTATTGGGAACAACTATCTTTGTTCCTCTGTCGACCCGATTTGGTGACAGGTGGATCATGCTCGCCTGTGCGTTCCTTTCCGTAGTTGGCTTTGCCCTAACATGGTTCTTTGTACCTACGGATATCGAGCCTAACCTTCACAACGATGAGATTTTGGGCCACATGAGCCTTGCTGACCGCATCAAGGTAGAGGGACGGCTCAATAAGGTACCGATGCGGGTGGTGTACAGCAAACCCTCGCTTTTCGATTTTCACGACAGTACATAAGGCAGCCGCGGTCATTGAATGTTTTCACAGTGTTTCGATTAACCATTATCGGCAGACGTGATACCTGGTACTCAATAGTGAATACTTCATACTTCATTAATTTGTTAGCGAACGATCACTGCTCATAAATCCAGCTTACAGCAAATCCTCGCTTTTCGATTTTCACCATAGCACTAAATCAGAAGGCAGCTGCGCTTATTGAATCTTTTTACAGTTTTTAAATTAACCATCACTGGCAGACATGATACTCCTACCTTTATACTTTTTTATTATGTAGCAGCTCGTCATCTACTCATAAATCCAGTTTTCAGAGTGGCTCGACCAGTCCAACAGTTCATCGTCCTCGAACCAGAGAGCTATTTCACGCTCTGCACTCTCCACAGAGTCCGATCCGTGGCAGATATTGCGACCAACTTCAATGCAAAAGTCTCCACGGATCGTTCCAGGAGCCGACTCCAGTGGATTCGTCGCGCCAAGCATCTTTCTCCCCGTAGATGTCGCCTGCTTTCCTTCCCATACCATGCACACCACAGGACCAGAGAGCATGTAGTCGCGGAGTTTAGGGAAGAAAGACTTTTCCACCAAGTCCTTGTAGTGTTCATTGAGAAGCTCAGGGGTGGCCTGCTTGGTCTTCATGGCGACAAGCTTGTATCCCTTGGTCTCGAATCTTGAAACAATGTTCCCCACGATTCCTCTCTGGATTCCATCTGGTTTAATCTGAAGGAAGCAGCATGGTTAGAGGAGAAACAAGTTTCATTGTCTCATGCTTATCTGGTGTTGAAGTTAGGAGTCAAGGCTTGTGTTGACGTCGTCTTACCATGATGTACGTTCGTTCCATCGCCATCGAGATCTCGGTGGAGGATGATATTTTGCTCAGGAACGCATGCTTAGAGCTAGTAAAGGAAGACGTGGTAAAGGCGGAGGCAGCGGCGACGAAGCCGGTCAATAGGAAGGAAAGGGTCTTCATGGTGTAAGCAATACGACGACGTCGGGAGTTTTGATTTTGTGGCCCGGAAAACGTCAGTGCTCCATCACATCTCGAGGTTGGTGGTTGAGTGTTCAGTGATGCATGTGATGACAGGAAGATTCGATCTTTCGACACGCTCGACTACGTAACACCGAAGAACTGTACAGTGTACAGTCCTTAGCCCTCCGAGTACTGTAGTACACCGGTATAGTGCAGTCTCCAGTACCGGTACACAGTATCCACTGCACCACTGCACCATTCGACTGCTTGCCAGTTTGTGACTAGCCCCCTGCCTCATTACCCATTCCAATCCTCTGGCATTCTTGGTGGTCGCTACGTTCCGCCGTAAGGTTCAACAGTAAACCATAACAAATCGAGAGACAATGAGAGGCAGCTGCATTACTTAAATCTGTCGTAATCGTTCGTTCGCACCAACAGCAATCATGACTGACGCTGCAGCTTTCTTCGCGAACAAGAAGAGTAAGAAGAAGACCTTTAAATTTAATGCTAACAAGATCGATGCTGCAACGGTAACGAGCACGGTTCATGTGTAAGTTTTTTACGCGTTGCTAATACCGCTCCAAAGCATTTCAACAACCTCTATTCCGTCAACTTTTTCATATTCTTGCATTCACATGTCGTATCCCCCTTCCATCCTAGTGACGCCCCAGCCCTTTCAACGGATGCCGATATGTTAGCGCTTGGGCTTGCCGGAACTGCCATCACTGACACCGCCGTGGCGGTCCCTGTCGCGATGACGCCTGCAGCCACAACTAGCGGAGCAGACGGAATTCCTTCCACGGGAGAATGGGACGACGAAGCCTTGGCAGCGTCCTTTTCACGCAAGGGGACGACAGCAGTAATAGCAGGGACCGGTGCTACTGCCGAATTGCTGGATATGAAGGCGTTTGATGCGAAACGCCGCGGCGAAGATGATATTGCCGAGAGACTGCGCATTGAAGAGACAAAGGCACAATTAGCTGCCGCAAAAGAGGGAATGGAGCGTGAAGCGCAAAGGTTGAAGGAGGAACGTGAGAGTAAGGAATTTAAGGAGGTGACAAAACCGTCGCAGTCTGGGACTCCCGGCGCAACAGGTTTGATGGGAAGCAAGTGGGTTCCTTCGCGCATGCGAATGGGTACTGGTCTAGATCGCGTTCGAGTTAACTCTTCTTTAGGAATGCCATCGTCCAAGCTGGACACACAGGACGAAAACCTCTTCCCTGATTTGGCCGCAGCTGATGTCATTTTGGAGCAAAAGAAAGATGACGTTGCCTACAAGGTTGTCAAGAAGACAGCGGTTGGTGGTGGGGCTACCTGGGGCTCGCGTCCACCAGCTGTTCGACCCAAGGAGCCAGAGCCTGAAGCGAAAACCCTGAACCAGAACCGGTGCCAGACGTCGAACCGGTCACTCTTGCGACCGCGGTTTCCGCTCCGGCAGTCCCGACGAAGAAAGTCGCCCAGAAGAAAAAGAAGGATTTATCAACATTCAAGGTGGGTTCTTAGAGACGCTGGCGAGTCGTGTCAAACTTCATGCGATGCCTTGGGATTAACGTTTGCTGAGTAATTATAGAAGGCTAAGGTTTCTTTTCTACCCTAGGTCTAGATCCATTTATTTCACAGGAGTTGTCGCTCGCTGCACACCGTTCACCGTAGGGGAGAAGTTCATGGCGTGTCACAACCTGCAACACCCTCTTGCGGTGCTGACTGGAAACGACAACCGGTGTGTACATCGTACCCAGAGCAGCAGACAAGGTAGAACTCGGGGAGCAACTTCAACCACACCCCAACCCAAGCCTTGGCTCCCTACTAGTAGTATAACATGAAATTCGCACTT